TGGTGTTGGTAGAGCCTTGAAGTCTAGAAAGCCCGCGCTGCATTTTGTTGGTCCATATCAGATTTCAGAAAGGATAGGTGAAATAGCCTACTAGATTTCTTTATCATCGTCGCTTGTTAATCTTTATGATGTGTTTCATGTGTCTCAGTTAAAGAGATACATTCAGGATTCGTCACATGTAATCCAAGTGGATGATGTACAAGTGAGAGATAACATGAGTGTTGAGACATCACCCATGTAGATAGGGGATTGAGAAGTGAAGTAGTTGCGGGGTAAAGATGTTGTCTTCGTGAAGGTAGTGTGGGTAGGACTAGCTGGTGAGAGCATGACTTTGGAGCGTGAGGATCAGATGAGGGAGTCGTATCCGACTCTGTTTTCCTCAGGTAATTTTAGGGGACGAAAATTCTTTAAGTAGGGGAAAGTTGTAACACCCAAAAAATCTAAATTTCTCTATTCTATTAATTATTTATGATTTATTGTTGATTTTATATGATGTGTGATGATATGTGTGTGGTTAGTGGTGGAAAGTAGAGATTAACTTAGAATTATTTAGTTTTGATTTCATTTATTTTATTAGTTGAGAATAATAATAATAATAATAATAATAATAATCATAATAATAATAATAATAATAATAATAATAATAATAATAATATAAGAGAAATTATGGAATTGGGAGGTAGAACCAACAGTACGTGAAAAAATAAGAGGAAAAAGCTAGGGCTTGAGGAAGAAGAGACAAGAACTCTATTGTTAAAGGTGAAGAGAGCTTTGCTGGGAATTTTAAGGTAAGAGCGGGGTTTTAATTCTATAAGGGTTTGCATAATGATATGTGGGATGGAGTTGATGATTGCTCTTGTTAGAATGTTATATCTCTATGATTGTGTTCATCTTTTTTGATTTTGAATGAAATGATGTATGATGATGTGATTGTATGTTGTATTGATAAATTAGATGTTTTAGAATGATGCTAATGATGTATGTGAATAGGAGTTAAAATTTAGAACCTGAAATGTACATTGTATGGGGGTTGGAGATGTTTGGATATTGGAAAAAAGTGATTTTCGTGTCAAAAGTTGCTGAAAAGTGCTTATGTCAATGAAGTAACTGGTTACTTGAAATGAAGTAACCTGTTACTCTACTATTAAAACGTGTTATGGGTATTTTTGGATGAAGTAACCGGTTACTTGAAATGAGGTAATCGGTTATCTCAGAAAAACTTCATATTCTCTTTCTGCGTTTGAAGTAACCCGTTACTTGGATTAAAGTAACCTATTACTCTGTTATGTCGAAATTTTATAAAATTTTAAAAATTCATATCTCGAGCTGTGAGTAACCGATTGATGCGTTGTTTAAAGCGTTGGAAAGCTAGTGCAATGTACTTTAACTAAAAATTAGTTTTTATACCAGATTTCAAACTATTGATGTATGGTCATGTATTTAATACATGGTGTGTTTATGTTGTTTTGTGGAATGTGTGCAAATGCATTGTTATTGTTTGCTATATTATTGTGTTGTTGTTGCTGCATGTTTTGGCAGGTGTTTGGTGCATGGTGTCCAGTAGTGGAGAGGTACATTAACTATGGTGAATGTCTTTGTGTGTTTTGTTATGTTGTATGTATAATATGTTGCATGCGTTCATGGTGTTTGGATGATGGTCCATTTTTGGTGAGCCTCAATCCCATTGTGTGGATTGGGTGCGAGTAGCTAATTCCTATGGTGATGAATTATTGAAGTGTTACTTAGTAACAATTTTGTATGGAGGTCCGTTTGGTGAGCTTCGATCCTAGGTAGGGATCGGAGCAGTGGACCTAAGAGTTCACATTTTGGTACCACATACATTAAGTCAAGTTGTTGAGTCTCATTGTATTGCATTTGTGTGGTGTCGTTGTGTTTGTGGTGCAAAATGTGTTGTTGGAATGTGTCTTGTGCTTGTAATGATTTGTTGCTCACTTATTATTATACATTCCTTAATATTATTGTGATATCTCACCCCTTCTATTTGAATGTTGCATCCACGTGAGTAACGCGCAGGTGGTCCGTAATGAAGATGTAAATGTGAATAGAAGAGAATGCTCTTTTTATTACTTTTATTGGTGTCGGTGTCTGCTCTCATATGTGACAGTGGGGGTCGAACATTTGAGTGTTATGCTATTTTGTTAGAGATTTTATAATATCTCTTATGTTGACATTTTTATAATGACTTCATAACATGTTTTGTTTTAAATAAGTAATTGAATACTTTGTTGATGTTTTCCGCTGTAATAAAATGAAGTTAGACATGATGATGTTTACTACTCATTGTTATTAATTAATTTTCAAAGGTTGTATGTATTACATGTTATTATAATATGAACAAGTTTCTATTAATGAAAGTAGTATCTTAATTGTATAAAGTTTTTAAATTACTCTGATTTTTAATTATAAATACTTTGTAACCATGAGATGAAAGAGAAGTGACACTTATGTTCCCCCGATTCATAAGTTGAAACGTGATGACACTGAAATGAGAAAATATGGTTGTCCGTTTAAACTGCGTGTATATTGTAGCGTCGTATAAAGTATTTCAAATATCAGACAGGTATACAATCAGCATACTTAAGATGACAATAAAAAGGTAAAACCGGTTAAAACCAAATGTGGCTCTAAAAAGGTAAAACCGACTCAAGATGGAAATACAACAAAGCGGCCTTCATCATACTTTGAACATGTTGATTCATATTTTTCAGATTCTCCAACTCCAAAATCTCAACAAAAAAAAAGAAGTTCAAAATGGTGCTTACGTTAACAAACCACCTCCACCACTGATGACATCACCTCTTCCACCATCGATGCCCGGGATTAAGTTCATTGATTAAATTCCTCTTTTTATGCACAAACACATTGAGCGGACTGTGAATGTTGGGGATGATGGTAATTGTGGTTTCTGACTGTATCTGGATTGCTCGATAAAGGAGATGAAAATCACCAACTTGTTCGCATACCACTTTTGAAAGAGTTGACGACGCATAAGAAATTCTACACGAAGTTATACGAGACAAAAAATTTAATTCAATTAAAGATGCAATTATTCCCTGTATTAACAGTAAATCATCGTTCTCAAAATGGATGCGCTTCTCTGAAATGGACAACCTTAGAGCACGTGCATATGACAGAGTGTGTATCGATCTGACAAGATATGGGTTCTCAGAGACATTTTTTTCATTACAGAAAGGACCACCTAAAAACTCTTCCGGACGCATCATGTGCATAGGGTTTCTTTCAAAATCGTTACATTTTGTTCAGGTTTATTTAAAACCTAGGTATCCAATACCAACTACATGGATGGAACACATTCATCAAATGAGGCGGAAACTTGACCGAATCAATTTTTGGAGAGGATGCTAAAGTTCACCAAATTGATGGACCTTGAAAGAGAATAAAAAAAGAAAAAGTCGAAGTCAGAACCTATTGTAGATTTATGCGGTAGTTGATCTTTTGATGCATTTTAGATTGTACTCGATACACTTTTTGTATGTACTATCGTCAATGATGTAATCTTGATACGATTTAATACATATTAATTTTATGGTTTGATTTTGGTTTACATTACATATGCTTGTTTAAAAGTTTCTGATTTTTTCCTGGTTCAGGTAAGTTTTCGAATATATATATATATATATATATATATATATATATATATATATATATATATATATATATATATATATATATATATATATATATATATATATATATATATATATATATATATATATATATATATATATATATATATATATATATATATATATATATATATATATATATATATATATATATATATATATATATATGAATTTACCTCATTCAGTTTTCATATTTGTATCTCCGAAGTCATCATTTTTGTAATAAAAGGTGTTGTTTATTCGGAGATGTATTTTCAAAATCTTATCTAATACATGATAAAAAATTTGAGGTCCAAAGTGACCCAATACTTATATAAATAGGGTGTGTCTCAACCCTTATTTGCTACACAACACACTAAAACCAGAGAATGAACTCATATCACAACCTTGCATTTGTGTATTTCAATGGCGAGAAGCAGCCACTTCCGTTTAAGGTCACTGAGGAAACATTCCTCGCAAATCTGATATCCAAACTGAATATTCTCCTGCACTTTTCAAAAAATTGCAGAGTAGTTAAACTCGAATATCGATCACCCTCGTTTGACAGCGAAGAGAATGTCCATTTCACCAACCTTGAACTACTGACGAATGAAGATTTAAAGATTATGTAGAGTATTTTTCACTCTTATGAATCAAAGAATCCGAATGAAGTGAATGCGAAGATTCAAAGATATGTCGAGGATATAATCATATTATGTTACAACATCTCGATGAAATAGTTATGCGATGTTGAATTTATTTTCATGACTATCCATGAAATGTTGATGTTAATTGTGCATCTCCAATTTTATTTAGAAAAAACTAAAATTTGATGTCTTCGAAGATATATCTCCAGAAAGCATTTTAGACATTTTGTCAGGAGCCATGAGAAATTGCCTAAGAAAAAAATTAAAGTCGTGAATATTGTAACGGGTGAAAAAGTGAAGCCGCTGGTACACCATAAAAAGATAGAGAACAGAAGAGCCATTTCAACGGTGTTTTATATTCTTAAACCTCTGTTTCCAATAGATTCTCTAGAAAAATAGAAAATTCACCAAGTAATATGTAATCTCATACACCTTATACAAAGCAGCTTATTGACCATTTGAAACATTTAGTTAGGATTGTTTTTCATTGTGTATATATATTATCGTAACCAAACAAAAGCAAAATTTAGAGGTTTCTTGTAGAATACATAGATTCGAGTCCCACAACTATTCTTCATATCTAAAACATTCTAATGAATTCAGTAACAACATGAGATGCCAATAAGACACTTATATAGAATATATATGATGGATTTGTACATTAGAAAACACAGAAAACATATCTATCAACATCTGTTGGGGATCTTTATATTCTTCGGAGAGAAGCTAATCTCTTTTCAAGTTCTTCAACATCTTGGGATTCTGATCTGCACGCACAAAGCAATACAGAAGTTAGAAACACAAGCGATAAAAGAATGCATTTCTCTAGACAGCTTTCTCTATGAATAAGACTGAAGTATATACCTTGCAGCAACATTTTCAGTATTCCTTGAAGCAATCCGACCTTTCGGAGCAGAAGATAACTATCATAAGAAAATAAATCAGCATTACGCCCAATACAATACTCATAAAAGTAATTGAAGAAAGTATTCCCATGTCATGAGCATGAGTAGGGTTTAGGTGAAAACGCAAATGATTTCTATGTTGTATCTGTAACATATTAAATAAATGAGTCCAAAACCAACCTGGGATGCAATATCCACTCCAATTTCATCAAGAACCTGTCAATAATAAATGAAAATCAGATATGAAAGGGGAAACTTTACTTAAGAACCTGTCAATTAAAGCGTGGTTGCTAAATAATTAAATTTGTCATTTATTTATATTCTCACCTGGTTAGTGAGCTCTTCCGACTCTTCCTCTGCTTCATCTTTGTCTAAAGTTTCATCAATAGATTCTGACATCATCTCAATCTGCATTTAGGATGACATTTTAAATGTTTGGAGAGAAAAGTAATAATATAATAGTCTGATGCTATGGCTGGATCAGAGCCTGCCTTCACTACTACAAAGCTACCCCACCATGGCGCCGTGTTGTGCTAATAAAGCTCTTGTCTTGCCAGGGTGGAGAAGCAGTGTTGTGCTAATAAAGCTCTTGTCTCGCCAGGGTGGAGTACAATGGATCCATTGCAGATCTATTGTAGCAACCTTTACTTTGCTGTTGCTAGAGGCTAGTTCCAGAAACTGAACCTGTGACCACCTAGTCACATGGTGACAATCCCAAATGTAATATGTCGGTTGAAGAAGCCAAATCACAACGATTTTCTGACTCACTCATTTTAGCTCGTATATATACTTATGTCATGGATACTTCATTTTTGGTTGCTTATTTTAGTTCTTATACTTCAAGGTCTTTGAAATACAACCTCTCTATTGCCCACACAATCTTCAAAAGTCTTTCAGTTATTTCAACCTTAGTTCTCCCTTTAATGTATTTTCATGTTGTCTGGTTTTTTCTATCTTCATTGAAACTTCTTAAAATAAAACCTTGTCAATGTCCAGTGCAAAAAAACCACCCACTATCCTCTTAGTACAGTTGCAGATATATTTTTACTTTTTTCACTCAGCTGAAAAGTACCATTTTGATACTGTGCCACAAATCAAACTATACCCTTTAGTCCTCAACTTCCTTGTGTCTGTTGCTTATCTTAAATATAAAAACATATTTCATTCATTTAACTCTTAGCTTATTGTTGTTCCTTCAATTGGTTCTTTCTCTGGAATATATTGTGAATTTATAACAAAATAACTCAGTGCAAAGCACCACAGATTAGCGGGACCAAACAATGGGAGAGAGAGAGACCTTAAATTTTTTCACAAAAGCTCTCAATAGTCTAATTACCAGTGAAACACTGGACTGGAGCAAAAAACAAATAATTGTCCTGTCATGTCAACAAATATCCACCCTCTCAAACAAAGTCAAAGTCTAAAAGCAGTTAAGAATGGCAATTGTCATGTCAACCAACAAATATCTACCCTCTCAAACAAAGTCTAAAAGTAGTTAAGAATGGACTGATTTTGCATGAGATCATATTAGAAATAAACACAAAAAAGGGATAAAATTACCGTCATGTCCATTTGAGCTGATTGTTTTTGGAATTCTTGAATCACTTTAGCCTGCTTTGCTGGTGCCATTTGCTGCAAAGATAAGCAAGGTAATGATTACTGTATCATTCTAGTCGTAAGCACAAAAATTTTCAAAAATATAACAATCCAGAAACACATCTTTCACATACTACGGAATTATGATTTAGTCCCAGCAGGAAACTGTTTGCACTTATTTGTACTTAATAGTAACCAAGGATGGAAATCAGAATCTAGTCCTCTGCGGAACATATCCTATGGAAGATAAGTTACTCTTAATATATAAGACGTGTTGCTTTGTTTGCTTCTTTGGCAAGGGCATATCAAGAGTTCAATACTCAACCCTTTGGTTTGTAAACTTATTGTGTATACCAATAATTACCATAAAACATGAAAATGGCATTCCTATTTTTGAATAATGGAAGCAGAAACAATCCAGAAAATATACCTTATTCATTGCTACCATTGCTTTAGTTGCACCCTTCATCCCTGTAGAGATTGATGTGCTTGCATATAATGCCTACAAAAGAAATTTGGAAATTGTGAAAAATGGAAATTCAGTTAGTCCTCTTGAAAAAAAATACTTTATTTAGCACACCTGTGTGTGAGTTGCTACACCCCTGATCTGAGCACGACTTCCCTGCAAATTGGTTATCTGTTGGCGTAACCTAACAAGTTGACGAGCCAGGATTCTTGTAGCAGCCTGTACACAAACATTTTGTAATTCAGGATTGCTATAATGTTATATATCGAATATAATGCATTCCAAATCAGTTCACGCATACATACACAAAGACATGGATAAAAGTTTAAATAGAAAGCAGGGTTACAACTGCAATTGGCTCCAGTTGGGCAGATCCTATAATAATGTTTGACTACATTAGACATGTTCTGATTCCCTCTAGTCCCCACCATAAAAGAAGACCAAAATTATAATTAACATCATAATATTGCTATTGCTAATCTGGTTGTTTATAATATTATATAGATTTCTAATTATAGTCTTCTCCGGTGTCTCTAACCTAGAGATGTATACCATACATACCACAAATTACGCGGTTTAAATATTTTGGATCCATGGTACAAAATGATGGAGAAAGAAAAGGAGATGTAAGCCATCAAATTCAAATTGGGTGGTTGAAATAGAGAGGGCCTTAGGGGTTTTAAGAAACACGAAAGTACAGTTAAAGCTGAAGGGAAAGTTTTATCGGAGACCTGTGATGTTGCACAAGACAGAATGCTGGGTGGTTAAGAATCAATAAGAAAATAAAGTAAATGTAGAAGAAATGAGGATGTTGCGTTGGATGTGTGGTAAGACTAGACGAGATAATATTAGAGATGACAACATTATAGAGTGATGACAACATATGTTTCATTGGACATAATTTGGTAGTTGGGTGTGTTGGTTAGAGGCATATGTTCCCCTGGACATCAATTGGTAGGTTTGATGTGTTGGTTAGAGGGCGGCGTACTTCCACAAAGCAGTTTCAAGATCTTATGGACAAGAAGGGAATGATAGATATTTATTAATCAACTTTGATCTCAATTAAGATGAAAACACTCAACACCCAAGTATTTATCTGAATAACGATTGTTATCAATATCACATTATTAATAATGCTTATACAAGACATAAACACTAAACCATATACTCTATATAGCTCATTAAAATTAAGAAAATGGATTAGCTACAAATAGATGAGAAATATAGCTACCTCATTTCCAGTTTTTGCTTCTCTTTTAATCTCTGCCACCAACTTCTTTTCCTGCAGTACACAAGGCAGTGAAGCACTAAAAGCAAATATGAAACAGAGTAAAATCAGTAAGAAGATCTAGCCCTATTTACCTCCATCTGAAGCGACCCTATCTCTCTTTCAATTCCTACAAGAAAGAAATATTACATAACTGCTTATTTATATGGCCAATACTTTGTACATATCAGAGATTTCAAAAAATTAGAAAGAAAAAGAATAAATTTTAGATTTCAATCATACACATTTCCATCACACTAATTTCATTTTTAGAAACAATTTATAGCTTCCCCTCCCCTCCCTTCCAAAATCCTCCATCCAAACATATCCTTAAAAATAACTCAATTATGCTAGAAAATGCATTGATCTAAATACTCAACAACAAAACTACACATCTAAATAAGAATCAATCGAACTAATTACCTCTAGTCGCAACAGACATTTCTCTCTTACTTTGCCTTAGAGCTTCTGTAATAAAAAAAAACAACCAAGCAACCACATAATTCCAACAACCGCAACTTTCTTCTCAATAACAATTAGATCGAAGTTACGACACAGAAACCAATCACTTATATAACAAAAAAGTGAAAATCGTAAACACAAAAGGTGAGAATTAGGGCAATGTGATGAGGAAAAAGAGGAAAATGAGATGAGAACCTTTGGGTGAGGTTTTCTTCTTGAAGATGTTCAAATTCATTCTTGTGATTGGTGAAGTAGAAGAAAACGAAAACCTAATTGAAGAAGAAGCGATGCAGAGGAAGTAACAGCAGCACTAGTAGCTCTTAATGTGTGGCTTTTTTTTATGAAAGAAAAAATGGCCGTTGCTAATATATGCATAAATTTGGACTCTGGTCTATCGTGTACAAATCATGTTTTTTATTTTTTTTATTATTGATAAATAGTTAAATACGTGTAGTAAATGATTAAATCTTTTTTTCCTCATTTTTACTCAGTTTCACTGTCAACGATACTCCTAGTTGAATACGGGAAATCACAAACTCTTGGTAATCTCTAATCAAGTTTTTTTTAACATTTATTTAATTTAAAAATTAAAAAATATATAAATGTAAGTAGTAGTCGAGAGTTTTAGATAGTTAAAATTTATTTTAATGAGAATGTTGAATTCCAACTCCTTATATCTTAGAATAAAAATAAATAAAATTATATGTAAATAAAATTTATGGAAATAAAATATACTTTGAGATAAATTTTTAAAAATTGAATCAAACATGAATATTATATTATTTTCTCATAATCATATTTTTGAAAATACTCTTTGCAATCTTAAAACAAATACAAAGAAAGAGAATATGTTTATGAAGACTTTTTTGTCATAAATTAATTATGAAAAAAATGAGAGGTTTTGTGTTACAATTGATCTAGCATAGTAGAGTATTAGAATAGATCATTAATTTGATTTGATTATATAATTGATTAAGCTATTGAAGCAGTAGAAATTGACCAAAATCGACTAAAATCAATAAAAATCGATGAATTAACAATTTTAAAAAAAATTGATAAATTAAATATTTATTTTTTTCACAGACAAAATAATGTCGTTTCAATAATTTTAAGATATAAAATAAAATTAAGATATATGTAAATTTATTCAACATTTATTTGAAATAATTTTTCTTCGTTCAAATTAAATTTATTAAAAATTTAATTATTTTATTATCAATTATTTAAAATTTATTTGAATTTATATTTTATATTATTTTATTAGGTGTAATAAATATGTTTACAACTAAAACTTAAAGAATAAATTTGTAAAATTATTATATTTTGAAATTTTAAAATTTTATAATATTATAATTTTTTTAAAAATAGAGTTATTTGGTTCTACCAATTTATAAATATATAATTTTATTATTAAAATTAATTTATTCATAATTCGATTTAATTTGATTTTGTAATACGATTTGATTAGTGATTTAATAATTTAATCAATATTTAAAAATTAAGTAAAATCATGTATGTCTCATGATCCATATGTTTCATTTGTGCAGATTAATGTGACAAAATAATTAATTATTGTTTGAAAAAGAAAAATAATAGTACATTATAGTATGTAATATAGTATTTTTTATTTTACAATGTAATTACATAAACAAAATAAAATATTATTATCATCAAATTTTTAATGTAAGAATATTATTTCTTAAAAAAAGTTAGGATTGTTTGTTTCAAGATTACAAAAATTATTTCTGACAATATGATAATGAGAATGCAATATTCTCATATTTAATTCAAGTTTTAAAATATTATTTCAAGGAATTTTTTATTCTAAGAAATATTATTTACTCATGAATTCTCTATTCTTATTGCAAAACATAAAAGGTATAAATTAAACATTCTTATAGGAATAAATTTAATTAACTCTAACTTTCTACTATCACTCCTAATTACTATTATTTATTTTTTTTATAATTTAAAATTAAATAAATTTTATAATTATTCTTAAAAATCTAAATTCTTATCAAAGCATGAATTGAAATGAATAAAATTTTAAACAAACACACCTTAAATAAAATAATCCTTCCGGTCCCATATTTAAATAAAAATTGATAAATCTTTTGATATATTTAATTATTTAAAAACATTAAAAAAAATTGTTAATTATTTTATCAAGTTTTACTTATATATTAGAATGTGTGAGAGAGTATGAGAAGACAGAACTGGGGGAGCGTGGAACGTGTGTAACCAACTGTCATTTTCCAACTAGCCGTTGCAACTTTTTTATATGGGAGTATTTTAGGAACGTTTACACCTTTTATTGACTTAAAAGGGAAATCTTGTGAGGATATATAGAAAAGTGTTTTTTATTTACTCAAGAAAAAAGTGTTAGGAATAATCTTTTTTGACAGTTTTCTCTGATATTTACTTTTTTTTCTTAAACAAAACACAGTGTGGAATTCACAAGATTTTCTTCCAATAAAAAATGTTTAAAAAAATATTGGTAACATTTTTTGTTAGAAAATATTTTAAAAATGAATAGTAAATTTTATCTCCGGTGCAATGATTGCAATTGAATTTGCTTATGAAAATAAGTTGAATTTTTTCTAGTTGGAGACCGATTCAACGACAGTGGTAAAAGCGTTTGAGTCTCCTCTTTTGGGGTCGTGGAATATTAGGAATAGATGATTGAACTATATAAATATAGTTATTAATTAGAATTTTGTGGTTTCCCATATTTTTCAGGAAGGAAATAGTTGTGCAGACAGTCTCACTAACTTAGGTCTTACTCTTAACGATATTATTTATTTTTCCTCTATTCCTAGTTGTCTAAGGGCTGATTTTGTAAATAATAGACTTGGTTTTCCATTCTTTAGGTTTGTTCCTCCTCGATAGAGTCTCGGTTTTATGTTCCCCTATCTTTTTTGTAACATTTTTTTATATAGTTTCAGCCTTCATTTAAAAAAAATATATACAATATTTTTTTAAAAAAACTTGAACATTCGGGTCCTATGCCCAGGCTAAAACTCTAAACTGTTTCGTCCTTACCAAGCCTTGCGCTTGAGGGGATTATAAACATTCAGGCCATATACCCCGGCTATAACTCTAAACCGCTTCGCCTTTACCAGACCTCGCGCTTGAGGGGCTTATGAACATCCAGACCATATACTCCGACTGAATTATCATGAATAGTCCTGACCACGTAAAAACAACATGGGGCCTCGTAGACATCCGAGTCCTAAGTCCCAAATAGAAATATATCATCCTGCCCTCAAAATAGGTCCCGCCAATCAACCCAGGGGGACAACCCGACAATATCAAATAAACATTCATCATGGCCCTCTCGACAGGAAAACAAGGGAAATAAAGCACCATGATAACCATAAAGACAAGGATTCTCCTAGTCTAGGCTAAGAACTATAAGAGAGAGCATGAGTCAAGAGACAAATCAAACAATCCCAAATACAATACTCTTCAAAATACATTGCGGCCTCTCCCGACCAGCTTCGGGGAGGTTATCAATATTGTTCTATCGGAACAGTAGGCGCCCATCGTGGGGTCTGGTAAAACTCTCCTAGACCGCACAAAATTGCCAATAAACAGAACAGAAAGGGAGCAAACAGTAACAGTCATGAAGCTCAAGTCATGGAACAACTGGTCGCCACTATTGAGCTCTTGTGACAACGGAATGAAGATTTACAGAACACCGTGAATGGTCTCCATCAGAACCCCTCAAACCAACAGGAGAAAGAGGACCCGAACGATCCAATTGATACTCAACTATTGTCTGAGGAAATTTGGAACGATGTGGTCCCGAAAAATTTCAAACCCCCATAGCTTTCCTCAATCAACGGGAAACACGACCCTCAGAAGCACATCCTGGTGGTGAACACCCAGATGGCGATCATCGGAGCCAACAAATCGCTGAAATGAAAACTGATGGCCGGGACTTTGAAAGAAGCCGCCCTTTGCCGGTACATGGGGCTCCCTGAGAATTCAGTGACGAGCTACCAGGACTTGGCCAAAAAATTGATACATCAGTTCTCAGCTAGCAAGCATCAGAAGGTTTCAACCTCCAATCTTTTCAAAGTACGACAGGGGCAAGATGAATCACTTAGAGAGTATGTGGCCCGTTTCAGCAAGGAGACTATCAAGGTAGCACATCATAACCAGGAGATGTTTATGGGGGAATTTTAGAATAGCCTAAGGGTTGGACACTTCAATGAGTCATTGGCTAAAAATCCAACTACCTTAATGAAAGACATCACCACCAGAACCGAATGCTACACCTGAGGGGAAGAGAGCAATATATAGAATAAGTCAAGATATGTGAAGGAGAAGGTTCTGATCCCTCGAACAGAGGGGACGGGATCCAAGAAATCCAAGGAGACATTGCTCGAAAGGAAAAGGCCTCCCCGAGCGATTCGTTTTGACAAACGACCAATGGAAAACCTAACACCACTCAACATTAACAGAGAAAGGATCCTACAAGAGACATACATTGGTCGAGTAATCTTGGAGGCCCCTCCCACTCAAGGGGACGCTAGAGGAACGAATTCCAACATTTACTGCAAATATCACAAGATCATATGCCACCACACTGAGGATTGTCACCACCTCAAACAAGAGATCGAGAAATTAGTTTAGAAGGATCTCCTTCAGAAGTAAGTGCAAAGAGAAAGTTGATCCTATCTGGATTATCCCAGAGATCTACGGAGCCCCTCCGAGAAACCTCGGGGGTAGAGAGAGTTCAGCGCGCCCCACCACACCCTAAACACCATTGCCGGTGGTTTCTCGGGGGAGGAGATTCAAACAGAGGCCAAAAGAACTATGTTAGGCAAATAATGAACATATCCAAAACACCCTGCCCGAGACGTCACTCATCTGATTACAAGTCGGTTTCTCAAAGGCAAGGGCGAAAGGAATCACACCACACGAGGATAATCCCATGGTCATAGACGTACAGATCAAAAAATGGGATGTAAAAAGAGTGCTCATTGATTCGGGAAGCTCGGTAGATGTCATGTATTGGGAGGCTTTCCAAGGCCTCCGACTCGATATGAATCTCATGCGTCTGTTCAAGGGATCATTAGTAGGTTTCTCAAGAGAACAGGTGCAGGTACTGGGTTACATAACCCTGAGCACTATTTTTGGAGACGGGAATAATTTAAAAGAAACAGAAGTCAGATACATGGTGGTCAACGCCCTGTCCTCTTATAACATCATAATAGGCTGACTGGC